GAATGAAAGGAGTTGGTCCATATTTGGTCTGAAGCATCCATGGGTGAAGGGGAACCAATTTTGTATAAACGGTGGGTCTGGCCCCCCTGGGGGCTGAGGGGCGGGGCCCAATAGGGGAAATATAGCAAATTCTTTAAAATCCTTCTTCTTCTGTAGGAATGAAAGGATTTGTTCCATATTTGGTCTGAAGCATTCTTTGTTGAAGGGGAACCAATTTTATATAAACCGTAGCTCTGGCCCCCCTGGAGGCTGAGGGGCGGGGCCAAACAGGGGATATATAACAAATTCTTTAAAATCCTTATTCTTCTGTAGGAATGAAAGAATTTGTTCCATATTTGGTCTAAAGCATCCTTGGGAGAATGGGAACCAATCTTGTATAAACCATTGGTGTGGCCCCCCAGGGGGCTGAGGGGCGGGGCCCAATAGGGGAAATATAGCAAATTCTTTTAAATCCTTCTTATTCTGTAGGAATGAAAGGATTTGTTCCATATTTGGTCTGAAGAACCTCGGGTGAAGAGAAAACAATTTTGTATAAACTGTGGGTCTGGTCCCCGCAGGGGCCTGAGGGGCGGGGTCCAATAGGGGAAACATAGCAAATTATTCTTTAATATCCTTCTTCTTTTGTAGAAATGAAAGGATTTGTTCCATAGTTGGTCAGAAGCATCCTTGGGTGAAGGGGAACCAAGTTTGTATAAATCGTGGGTGTGGCCCCCCAGGGGCCTGAGAGACGGGGCCCAATAAGGGAAACATAGAAAATTCTTCTTCTGTATGAATGAAAGAGTTTGGTCCATATTTGGTGTGGAGCATCCATGGGTTAAGGGGAACCACTTTTGTATAAACGGTGGGTCTGGCCCCCCTGGGGGCTGAGGGGCGGGGCCCAATAGGGGAAATATAGCAAATTCTTTAAAATCCTTCTTCTTCTGTAGGAATAAAAGGATTTGTTCTGAAGCATCCTTGGGTGAAGGGGAACCAATTTTATATAAACCGTTGATCTGGCCCCCAGGGGCCTGAGAGGCGGGGCCCAATAGGGGAAACATAGCAAATTATTCTTTAAAATTCTTCGCCTGTAGGAATGAAAGGATTTGGTCCATATTTGGTGTGGAGCATCCTTGGGTAAAGGAGAACCAATTTTGTAGAAACGGTTGGTGTGCCCCCGCCCCTGGGACTTGAAGGGCGGGGCCCAATAGGGGAAATATAGGTAAAACCTTTATAATCCTTCTTCTACCATAGGGATTAAGGGATAGTATCCTAATTTAGTCTGGAGCAGCAATTGGCCAAGGGGACTCAATTTTGAATAAGCAGTGGGTGTGGTCTCCCAAGGGGTAGGAGGGCGGTGCCCAATAGGAGAAATAGAGGTAAAACCTTTAAAATCCTTCTTCGACCATCGGGATTATGGGATTTTATCCTTATTTAGTCTGGAGCATCCTTGGGTCAAGGGGACTCAATTTTGTATAATTGGTGTGTATGACCCCCCTAGGGGCGGGGCTCTGTTTGAAGTTTGTTCTCACTATATCTCAAGTACTGTATGGATCTTTCTGAAATTTCATATGTACTTACAGCACCTACTTCATACCAATTATTTTAAACATATTCAGGTGAGCGATACAGGCCCTCTGGGCCTCTTGTTCTAATTGCTATTAAAACCAATGGCAAACAAAATAATGCTCTGTAAAGAATGCAATGGGTTCTGTTCGAGTGCCAGAACATACAAAAGTCCTGAAAATGGTATTTATTATTTCCTGCTACACTTTCTTCATTTAGGGTAATCACATATGCTGTTAACCCGTTACCAGTCTAATGTGACCGGGTGGAATACGTGTATTATGTTGGGTGCCTTTATCATGATATTTCAGTGAGGTAGCACTATAAAGTCGGCATCAAATACGCACTATCAAAAGGAGGCAGCTACACTAACATACCTTACCTCCAGCAAACATACACAAATGCACCCATACACTACAAAAATGGAGGCACGTCCGTAAATGACCTCAGCTGTTAATTAGACGCTAAACCTTTTAAAACCAAACCAAATCAAACAATTTGTACTAATGTCAGAAAACTGCAATATGGGTACGTTTTGGAAACTAAACCCATCAGGTTTGAATACAGTGTTCACAATATATACTTTGCCAAGTGACACTGAAACAAATGGCTGGGTAATTGTATTTTTTCAGGATGTATCGGTGATTGGAAAAATTACTTCACAGTTGCGCAAAACGAAAGATTTGATGCAGTATATGACAAAGAGATAAAGGAGCAGGGTATTGATCTCCCATTTTCCTATGAATGATACATGACATGCATGGTGAGTCTGTGATTCTTCCAGTATTCTGTACACGATGGAGAATGAATGTACAATTATATACATTTAACTAGACTTTTGAATAAAGATAATCAACAATCTCTACTGTGACAATGTAAATCTTTTTTTGACCTAGTATACCGGATTTTGATAAAACTTGTTATTACCAATTTTAAAAGCAAACATGCATTTGAAAATGTGTCAAAGACAAGATGCCTTTTGTCTCTTTAGAGCCTCTTTACAAATTTATAAAAAGGATTGACAGCCATATGAACCCCCCCCAAAAAAAAAGATATATAAATAATAATGTTTAAGCATTTGATGTATCACTTAACGTGACATTGTATCACCATTTTTAATTGTAGCTTGTTGAATTTTTCTGTGAATTTTGTGAATGTGCAAAATTTAGAAACAATTTGCAAAAAAAGTAGAAAATTATAAAGCATTAGTAAGTCTTTTTGTCAATTATTTAGACAAACAAAAGCTAACTTGATTTTTCGATCCCGCAAAAGGTGAAAAACAGTACAAAACAGAATCTAACTGAGCCTCCGTTTATTTGGTTATTTGGTTGTGTTTGAAGATAAATTCAATTTCTTTTTATGTACGTTCAATAAATTGAATATTTGCCATATTTACTATCTAATTATATGAATAAAGGGAGCATTTATCGGCAATTATAAAATCATTGATAAATTGCACTCCTTTCTCTTGAATAGTGATTAGATCAAAAAAAAAAAAAAAAAAAAAAAAAGGAATTACGCCATTTTAAGTGGAAACAGAGACGGAGTAAATTGTGACATGAAATCTCGGAAAGTGCATTAACTGATGAGAATGGTGTAAGAAATTTGAGACGCCCTTAGCAAGAAAACGTTGAACCTACCTCAATATATTTTATATTTTTGAAACTTTGGACATTGCCAGGTCTAATGGACCGAAGACACATTAAATCAACCAACGCAGTAATTTACATACTTTATTATATCATTTCAAAATAATTAACTTTTTTTGTATATGTATCTCTTTGTGTCATGTATAAACAGTCCCATTAAAGCTAATGAAAACCTTAATATGTGTTCTTCGTGAAGTAAGAAATGAGATGCAAAAAAACCCAGGGGATACCCGGTTTCGAACCAGGGACCTTCTTATCATATCATCAGACCAAACTAAATATATTTCTGATGCAATATACCAGCTAACCCTGGTCAGATCAGAATATGTTCCATTCCTCGACATAATTATTATTTAAAAGTCAGTTCATCTATTAGTTGGATGAGTCAGATTGATAAAGAAGAAATTATCAAATCAAACTCGATAGTATTATATGTTGTTGTTAATAAAGGTTTTGTTTACCTGTGTATTATTTTCTATTTAAAGCGCGGATACACACATACTAGCTGTATCTGTGTGTTGTTTCAGTAGAACGTACCGTACACGTATAAACTTCTAGTACACAACATTTTTAAATATTCACTCACAAAAGAAAAACACCGGATAAACATAATCAATCTATCAATAGCGTTGGAAATCGTACATAAGTCGTCTGCTGACGAGGCACATAGTAACCTATTCATATACCTGACTGTGCCGTCACAAATCGTACATCAGACGTAGTTCTTATAATTCGTTTACGGAATTCTAATTTCATGTATTTAATCGTTTATTTTGAAATATATGGTTTTAGAACATACGTGAGCATTGTAGGGCAATTACCATCTTTTTATGTTTCATAAGTTCATGACAACTCATCATTGTTTGGTTGGTTAATGTTGTTTTTTTTTTTTTTACAAAATCATATCATTCAACCTTATGTAAGTTAATCCACTAATACTGAATAGGTGATATCATTGGCGATAAATAATTTTCTCTAACCCCCAAACTTAGATTTCTATTTAGTAAGATATTTTTATTGTTATGAATAAATTAAATATTTGCCCATATTCACTATTTAATTATATGAATAAAGGGAACATTTATCGGCAATAATAAAATCATTAATAAATTGCACACTTTTTTTCTAGATTTCATGATTAGATAAAATACAAGGAATTACTCCATTTTAGGCGGAATAACTGCGGTGGAAACACAGACTGAGTAAATTGTGACATAAAATCTCGGAGAGTACACAACCGCATTAGCTGATGAGAACGGTGTGAGACAGACGCCATAAGCAAGAAAATGCTGTGTCTACGTCAATATATCTTATATTTTTAAATTTTGGACATTGTCAGGTCTCATGGAGCGAGCATTCATTAAATTAACCAGCGCAGTACATGAAGAAAAATCGATATTTAATTATTAAGACTATAATACCGTTTATCGTTTCTAGTATAATGTGTCTTTTCCAGATAACTATGTGGTTAGTTTTTTTTGTCAATACTTATATGTCATAGGTCATGTCAGAATAGGTTCAATTCCTCGACATCATTATTATTTTAAAATCAGTTCAACTATCAGCTATCAAATAAAACTCGACAGTTTTATATGTTGTATATTAAGGTTTTATTTCCTAGTGTATTATTTTGTATTTAAAGCGTTGATACCTTCTAGTACACAATACTTATAAACAAACATAGTCAACCTATCAATAGTGTCGGAAATCGTACACAAGTCGTCTGCTGGTACCTGGCTGTGACGTCACAAATCGTACACCAGCCGTAGTTCTTAAAATTCATTTATATCATATGATCTGAAAAACATAAACTAATGTGAACCGTGTGAGAAATTTGTGACGCCCTAAGCAAGAACATGTTGTACCGACGACAATTCATTTTATATTTTTGAAACTTTGGACATTGTCAGGTCTAATGGACCGAACATTCATTAAATTAACCATCGCAGTAATCTACATACTTAAAAACTGAGAATATCATTTCAAAATAATAAGCATTGTTTTGTATATCTGTCTCCTTATGTCATATATAAAAATCAGCCCCATTAAAACTAATAAAACCATTCAATATGTTTCTTTCGTGAAGTAAAAAAATGAGGTGCAAAAAATTAGGGGACACCCGGGTTCGAACCAGGGACCTCTCGATCTGCAGTCGAATGCTCTACCACTGAGCTATATCCCCTTTATACCTTATAAGGAGACTAAAACCAAATATATTTCTGATGCAATATGCCATCTAACTCAATTACATGAACGAAGATCAATATCTGATAAATAAGACTATACTAGCGGTTATCGTTTCAGGAATAATGTGTCTTTTGAAGAAATATAAATGGATATCTTTATTTTTTCATTTTTGATATGCCATAGGTTATATCAGTAAAGGTCGATTAATCAATTCCTTGACATATGTAGTATTTAAGTTAAATCGCCCATCAATTGGAGTTGGATTGATAAAGAAGAACAAATCATAATAAACTCGACAGTATTATGTTGTAAATAAAGGTTTTGCTTACTAGTGTATTATTTTGTATTTAAAGCGTTGATACATGCACACGAACGGTATATGTGTATTGTTCAGTAGGACGTATTGTACACGTATCAATTTCTTGCAAATAATATTTATAAACAAACATATCCAATAGTTCAATACGCTGGAAATCGTACACAAGTCGTCTGCTGACGAGGCACATCGTAATCTATAAATACGCCTGACTGTGACGTCTCAAATCGTACACAAGACGTATTACTAGTGTATATATAAATACAGCTGTGAACCAACTGGATAGTGGACATACGGGACAGGATGGAGTGGACATAGGGGTATGTATGCCATACTGCTAACTGAAATTTACATGAGCTTTATGTTTCGTTTGAGCTACTTTTGATTGCTTTATCATTTACAAACAATATTCATTTTATTCAGTTTGTTGTTTCACTTTAGAAGTCATCTGACAAATATAAAAAGGACTACTAGATTCTGTTGTATTTTATTGAAGGAATATTAAGAATAATTTCACAATTTGGATTCATTGTTCTACTTAACAATGATTAAGTGTTGACCTTTTCAATTCTATCTTAAATCTTAATTTTATCTTTGTTTCGTGGATAAATTTATCATTACATACATTTTAAATACCATAGTATATTTCACAACTTTTGTGATATTTCGCAGATTAAATTCTGTTTTTCCCATTATGATTGATTAAGGTTTTATTGCAGTGAAGTAAAGGTGTTAAATAGAAATACTATTTTAATTTGATAACCGGTCTAAATTAAAGTATGGTTAACATTTCAGAAGTGTCCACCAGATGGGGCCCGTGGTCAAGACAAACTTTTGAACTCATCGGATTCTTAAATAGCCATACCAGTTTTAACAACGAAAAAGGGGAACTGAGCTTTGAATTATTTGGGTTCAAAGGTCACACGGGAACCTCCTGTTTCTGTCGAAGTGTGTCCCGACCCCTATACCGGCGGGGAAAGGGTATATTGAATGGGATTAACACGACTAAAGTAACTTGTAATAATAGAAACGCGATGAACTTTCATACAGTGAAAACGAGATTAAAGAAGAGGCGAAGGAAAGAGGAGGATGAAATAGATAATGATGGGGAGGTTGAGGACGCAGCCATTGACGATCCAGATAAATGACAGAATTGAAGTAATAATTAATTATATTACGTCAAAACTTTATAGATATCACATGAAGGTATGCTTCAGTGACTTAATCCTTTGTTCATAATACGATTACCACTTGTATTAACGGTTACCTGTACAGTTAGTTTGACCTTAAGATATGCATCAACAGCGTAAACATCCTAATTGACATCGATACAATTCCTCTTTAATAGTCTGACGATAGGAAAATTTGTAACATGAAGACTATGACATGTAGAGCCATTGAAAACAAAGAAACGTCAGCTATGAACTGGTTTGAGAGAAACAATAAAATCAAAATCCTAAACTATTTTGAATGTGCTGTTTAAATCGGGGCCATACTCGGAGAAGGGATAGTATCAGTTTTTCAGAAACATGTTTGAGTAGAAAGGATTTTGATTTGTTCCTCTGGAGATAGAAAGGTTACTCTATCATCAATTCA